ACGTCGTACGTCGTACGTCGTACGTCGTACGTCGTACGTCGTACGTCGTACGTCGTACGTTGTCCGCCGTACGCAAAATTTGTCCATCGATTATCTCACCCCCCAGAAAAGTTATTTAAAATCTGACTTCACGGGATGATTGGGGGTCCCGAGGAATAGAAATCATTAGATTTTGAGCGATTTTGGTTGATGGAAAAAAATTTCATGCCTGGAGTGATACCTATGAAAAAGAGTCCAATTTTCGTCCAAAAGTCATACTTAATGTAGACTTAAACACTCAAAAATATGTAATGGGGGGTTTTTTGGCACGAGAAAACCGAATCCGAGGTTAGTTTCGAGATACAATCAATTTTTGATACAGTTTCCTTGGAAAAATCACAAAAAAATTGAATTTTCGTATGTGAGCCATGCCTGTTTGCTACTTTAATGACGCGAAACTTTGCACAGACTATTTTTTACACAAAATAATAACATTCTGAAAGTTTGAAGAGATTTCAATCAAAATTAGGGGTAACTCCCATACAAAATTTACAATTTTTGGCTCAAAAACGAATATTTTGTATGGGAGGTACTCTTAATTTTGGTTGAAATTTCTCCAAACCCTCCGAATGTTATTTTTTGGTGAAAGAAATAACCTGTACAAAGTTTCATGCCATTAAGGTAGCATACAGACATGGCTCCCATACAAAGATCCAAATTTTTTGTGATTTTAGTTATGAAAAGTGTTTCAAAAATAATTTTTATGGCAAAATTAACGTCAGACATATTTTTTATAGTGTTTTGTTAAAAAATAGAATACTTTCAAATGTTGTACAAATGGGTTCATCATGAAAGTGTGAAAAATCTTTTCTCGAGTACCTCTGCTATTAAATTAAAGAATATTTCGTTGCCAAGGTTGGAACATATTTTTTGGTCTCGAACTTTACGCCGCTTGAATGGCTTGAAAAATCGAACAAATGATATTTTGAACTTTCTTAATAAAATACGCAACTACCACCGTGCGGAAAAGTTCGTCTTACTCCCGTAAGACTCTTTATTTTTTTTTCAATTTGTTTACATTTATCCGACTTCGTTGAAATGACATTGAATGATAAAGTCTGAACATGAATTTGCTTGCAAGTCTGTTTCCTACGTTTGTTTATATTATTGAATTAAACAATTCAACCTTTTTTTAAGCAACAAATTGTCCCATCTTTTTTCCTTCAACAATTCTTCGATTGAGATAAAGATCGATTTGATATTGATCGATTTTAATTCACTGCTATTAATTTGTTCTTATTCAACATTTTCTGATAATATTTTTCTTCCATCTCCTTAGATTTTGTGATCGTCAAACGATTTACACGTATTGTGGAATAGTTTTAGTGGCCATAAATCCATATGCTGAATTGCCATTGTACGGTCCCGACATAATCCGTATGTATCGTGGCCAAACGCATCAAAGTTTGGAGCCGCATATTTTCGCTGTTGCTGAAGAAGCGTACGCAAAATTGGAGCGTGAAAAATGTGATCTCAGTATTATTGTATCGGGTGAGTCGGGCGCTGGTAAAACTGTATCAGCAAAATATGCGATGCGATATTTTGCCGCGGTTGGTGGTAATGAATTCGAAACACAAATTGAGCGAAAAATTTTGGCCAGTAATCCGATTATGGAGGCAATTGGTAATGCAAAAACCACACGAAATGACAATAGTTCGCGATTCGGTAAATTCACCAAATTATTGTTTACCAATCGCATGAATGTGATGTCGCTGACGGGAGCCACAATGAATACGTATTTATTGGAAAAATCTCGTGTTGTGTTTCAAGCAAATGGCGAACGAAACTATCACATATTTTATCAATTGTGTGCGGCACGTGATCAGTGGCAAGATTTAATGCTTGATCATCAACAAACATTCCGGTATTTGAATCAAGGTGACACACCAAACATAAATCGGGTATCAGACTTGGATCAATTCTCTGAAACAGTAGCCGCACTCGATACGCTCGGTTTTACCGCAAATGATGTGGATGATATTGTTAAAACGTGTGCGGCCATTTTGCATTTGGGAAACGTTAACATTGCACCGAAGCGAAGTTCAAAGGAAATCGACCAAGAAGAATGTGTTGTGCAAAGTGATGATTTACATTTAAATTTGTTTGCCGATATTATGCAAGTCGATCGTGATCAACTGCGAAAATGGCTCATTACGCGGCAGATTGAATCGATTAATGAACATGTTTTGATTCCAATGAATCATGTGGCCGCTGAAATGGCACGGGACGCCTTAGCAAAACATATTTATGCAAAACTCTTTCAGCATATCGTTAATAATGTGAACAAAAATTTGGAAAGTGGCCATAAACAACATTGTTTTATCGGTGTTTTGGATATTTATGGTTTCGAAACATTTGATATCAATTCATTTGAACAATTTTGTATAAATTATGCCAATGAGAAGCTACAACAACAATTCAATCAGCATATTTTTAAATTGGAACAAGAACAGTATTTGAGCGAAGGCATCGATTGGACGATGATCGACTTTTATGATAATCAACCGTGTATTGAACTCATTGAATCGAAGCTGGGCATACTGGATCTATTGGATGAGGAATGTCGGGTGAGTTCTTTTTTCTGTTAGGTATCTGAATTTGGTAGGTATTTTTTAGTCTAATAAATTCAATTTTGTCCATTTGATTAGGTGCCAAGAGGGTCTGACGAGTCTTGGGTCGGCAAATTGAATGAAAAATGTGCCAAATACAAGCATTTTGAGAAGGCTCGCTTTGGAGGTGCATGTAAGTATGCTTTCTATTTCGTAAAAAATTCACCGGCGAAAAATTCATTTTCTTTCACACTTCTGTCCGCAGCCTTTGTAATCAAACACTTTTCGGATACGGTGCAATATCAGTCGACCGGTTTCTTGGAGAAGAATCGTGATACAATTTCAAAGGAGTTGGTCAATGTAATGTGTGAATCAAATTTGCCTATTTGTCGCTTGCTAATGACCTTGGATGAAAGTTCTTCTTCGAAAAGCAAAGACATCAGCCTTGATGGTCGTGTTAAAATTAACGCAGCAAAACACTTGGTAAATACTTTTTGTTTCAAACATTGTGTGAAATTTACAGTGCAGAATTCATTTGGTATTTTATGCACTTTCCAATCGATTTTCTCACATTTTAATTGTCCACTATGGTTTTATGATTTATCTGTGTCGACGTTTTCTATTTCAGGACTCGAAACCTACACCGAAAAAAGTTAGTCTAACGACGAACTTATCTGGATTTTTATTTCACAACTCTTTTTTTCTATTCTTCTTTTATTTGATCTAAGATAAGGAGGTCGCGGTTTTTCTCTATTTTATCTCTCTTACTAATAATTCTCTCATAAAACTTAATATTAGTTTCTATTTTTCAACACCTTTCTTTTGATCTCGATACTGTTTGATATCACACTTTATCAGCAGCTATTAAGTTGCAACACTTTTGTTAGTTTGCTCTATCGATACAAGACTATTTTTAAATACAAAATTATTGAATGTGTGGAGGGGTAATGGGGGTTTGCACAAAATGGTTTTGATTACTTTATTCATTTTTTATAAACTTGCAATTAACCTTTTCACTATTTGATTTTACTAACTGGAGGTTGGTTCTATTTATTTAAAAAGAAATTAACTCTGATTTAATCCATTTCAATAGATTCAACCGTCAAAGCAACACAAACATACCGTTGGAACACAATTTCGAGATAGTCTCACAAAACTGATCTCTACATTACATGCAACTACACCGCATTATGTTCGTTGTATCAAGGTAAAATTACAAGTGATATTTTAATTTGATTAAAATATGAATTAATCGGTTGAATAGTTTGTCGGGAACACAATTTAATTTATGGGAATAGACGGAACGGCACATTCGAGCTCGTATCTTTAGTAACTTTCTGAAGAATGTTGACTGAACGAAGTGTGAGATAGGTCTTCGGAAAAGTTGGAGATTCTATCAAAACCTTCAACCTTGCCGAAGTTTCTTGTTAAATATCTCTTAAATATAGAAGTTACTTAGGATGAAGGTACGACTGGGCGTTAATGTCATCTAGATTATTTTTTCGACATATTATTCAACTTGCTTTTGAGTAATTTTGCGGAATGGGTAAACAAAATTTCGTCGCGTTAGCATCGAAAATTGCAAGGTTGTTATTGGCACCGACCACCACTGACCCGCAGTTATTCCATATATTTTTTCAAGTGACCTATGCAAAAAAGAGCTTAAAAGAAAATTAACCGTACCTCCGCGGTGTCTACAACACCTCCTCAAGAAACGAAAAGAATAATTTGAAAAATCACACTAATTGTTATCGTTGTATTTTCCAATTCTCCAGCCAAATGACGATAAAGTCGCATTCAAATGGGAATGTCAGAAAATTGTGCAACAGTTACGAGCTTGTGGTGTGCTAGAAACGGTTCGAATATCAGCTGCTGGTTTTCCGTCACGATGGACCTATGAGAATTTCTACAGTCGTTACTATTTGTTGGGAAAACTAAGCCAGTGCAATGATGACGAACGGATTACATGCACACACATCGTACAGAATCACATCAGTGATGAGGATAAATATCGATTTGGCCACACCCAGATATTTTTCCGAGCTGGTCAGGTATAGTGCTCTTTGGTTTTAATTCATTGCGATTCATTCTTAAAACCTTCCCCTCCCCCGAACAGGTGGCACTGTTAGAGCAAATTCGAACCGATACTCGAAAGCGATACATAATCCTCGTCCAATCGATGGTACGTCGTTTCATAGCCCGCAAAAACTTCATAAGAAACAAGCAGCTGGCGTTGGGTTTGCAACGCAGAATCCGTGGCTACTTGGCACGCTGCAAAGCGGAAAAAATCCGTCGCGAACGTGCTGTGGTAAAGATTCAAAAAAAGGTACGTGGTTGGTTGTGCCGTCTAAAATACCACCGTATTCTGCGTTCAGTGCTATTGATCCAAACCTATGGCCGTGGTTTGCTTGCTCGCCGATCGTTTGACATTAAAATGCGAAACTACAAAGCGACCGTGATTCAACGTTATTGCCGTGGATATTTGGCGCGTAAAAAATATATCGAACGGAAACGCAAGATCATTCTATGCCAATCAGCCATACGTCGATACTTCGCGCGACGTGAATTCAAAAAGTTGAAGGCCGAAGCACGACAAATTTCACACATTCAAAAAATGTACAAAGGGCTTGAGAACAAAATCATTTCATTGCAACAAAGAATTGATGAACTCACCAAATCCAATCAGCAGCTTTCGAAACAAGCTGCCGAAGTACCAGAACTTCAGATAAAATTGGAAGCGAAGAAACAAATTGAAGATGAACTGTGTAAAGTAAGGTCGATGTCGTCGCAACTTGAGAATCAAGTTCAAACATTAAATAAACAATTGGATGAAGAAAGAGATGAAAAATTGTCAATTCTCGATGAGAAGGCCAAGGAAGAGGCTGAATTCAAGCAGAAATTCTTTGAAATTTGCACGGAAAATGAACAGTTGAGTCGTGAAATCGAAGCACTGAAAGAAAATCAAGAAGATGTGGAGACGCTACATAGGAGTCATGTATTGTCCGATGCCGATGACAATGAAATTCATCAAGCCTACCAGAAAATTGCACAGGAAAAGGAACATTTGGAAAAAGAGAACTTTTTATTGAGCCAAGAAGTTGATCGTCTCATCAAATTGCAACCAAATTCATATGTTCATTCGAGGTCGGTCAGCAATGTATCGAGTGTTAATGTTGACGAGGACTTTGGATATGCATCAGCTAAAAATACACTTGAATTGAAACGGGATAAGGAGCACAATGTTACCGGACTTAATTCGAATGCATTGCTTCATGTACCGTTGACTGACAAAGAAAAACTGACAAATATTGCAAATGCACCCGATGTCAACAACTCTCCGGACAGCTACGAAGCGTTCAGTGAGTATTATTTACAATTTTCTGATTTTTTTCCCACCAAAAAATTGGTTTTTCTATTCATAATAAGTAATATTGAAAGGTTTTTACCAAAAGATGAATTCTGCTTAAGAAAAAACATCAATTTTCACCTTTGAATTCTTTTCAGATGCCTCAACTCCAAAGCGCAATGAAATTCTTACGATTTTGAAGATGAAGAATGTTCTACAAGACGAAATGAAAAAGCGAAAAATCTTTGAAAAACAACTTCGGCACACGCAAGATAAACTCAGCAATTTGAATATCAACGCTGAAGATTCGATTAGGTGAGCTTCAAACAATTCATTTAAGATCAATATCAGGTCAGATGTCGTCTTGAAATGTCTATCGTAAAAATTTTGATTTTTTTTCCTCAACAGAGTCTCCGAGCTTGAAATTGAAAATGAGAAATTGCATAAGGACATTTTGTTGCTTCGAAATAGTATCGATCGTGGTATTGCCGAAAAAGAGCTAGAAGGTAAGATCAATTCTACAATATACAACATTTGTTCAAGCAATTTTTTTTATCAAAAATTCCAGCTCAATTTATTGCATTGGAAGAAGAAAATAAGCGTCGACGCGACGAGTGCATTCAACTTCGTTCGATTTTGGCCCAACGCAGCCACGGATCGCCGAGCAAAATCAATGGCAACATTGATCATTCCGACGATCAAAGTTTACAAGAAAGTGAATTGTTGCAAGCATTTGAGGCGCAAAAAGTGGTTAATCGTCAATTGGAGTCCGAATTAACCGCTTTGACCGAAGAAAATAATTCGAAAATATTGGATTTAAGTTTAGAAATTGATGAATTGCGTTCGGAACGAAATCAATACCAAGAGATTATGCACAATCAAATTCGATTAACGGAATTTTCCGAAGAGTTTCACAGTCTCAACACATTGGACAATAGTTATACACCGCAAAAACAGCAACAAAACATCGACTACTTGATGTCCGAAATTCGGTCAATTAGTGCGTCTTATGCACTAGTGTTGGTTAGTCATTTTATTTTATTTTTTGCGGATTTTTTCAAAATGAATTCCGAAATTCTTATATGAAACGTTTTTCAGGAGGAGAATAGTCGAATGTCAAAATCAATCGAGAAACTAATGCAAGAGAATCAAATTTTGTCGAAACGACTACGTCAAAATGGTATTGATGACTCGATTGAGCGATCGGAGAGTCTAGATAGTTCACCAATGATCCACAAACGGGCGCCAACCTATCAAGGCATTTTCAAGTATCGTGCAGAAGATGTGACAAAACTGCTACAACGACTTGTCGACGATTTGGAGCCGCGAGTCGCCAAAACATTGGCTCCATCACTACCAGCTTTTATTGTTTTTATGTGCATTAGGTAAGGCTATTGCGATAATATTCTCTTGAATATCTATTTTGTTTGCACTTTATCATTGATTCTTGTTACGGCTCCATTCACAGGTACACCGACATTGTGAACGATGACGATCAAGTTCGCAAGCTATTGACTAGTTTCATAAATGGCGTGAAAAATCTAACCCGAACACGTCATGACAAACAAACTACAGAGCATCGGGTCATGTGGCTAGTCAATATGATCAAGTAATTTTTTTTGATTTCCATGCGTGTAAAAAAATTTCTTTAATTTAATTTGTTTTTTTCAACAGGTTATTGAACCTCTTGAAGCAATACGGTGGATTGGAGGAACACATGAAGCTGAACACTCCAATGCAAAATGAGCAGCAATTGAAAAATTTTGATCTATCCGAATACAGACAGGTGATTCTCACCACAATCATTGTATCGTATCAACAAATCACCCAACAAATTCAAGAGGTCATCAAATTGCACATTGTTCCCGCTATTTTGGACTACGACGAAATGGCACGCGGAAAACAAAAAGGTCCGAACCACAATTCGGAATTCAATCTGAATATTTTCTTTTCAAATTTCTTGATTAAAAAAAAAAAATCATGTAAATTCCCACTTTCGGCGTGTTTTATGAATTTTATGAAATTTTTCGTTCAACAGGCAAACGTGTTTCTGGCGTTTTCTACGAGCCACGATCATTAGTCAATCAATTGGATCATTTTTATGAGCTGTTCAAAATGTTCGGTTTGGATGAAATTTTCATCGATCAAATTTTCAAGCAATTCTTCTACTACATTTGCGCTATATCGCTGAATAATTTGATGTTGCGCCGAGAACTATGTATGTGGAAAACCGGCATGAGAATACGATATAATATAAGTTGTTTGGAGGAGTGGGCGCGCAAAATGAAAATGGTAATAACTTTAAAAAACTTTACTTTAGATATTTCGCAAGAATTTTCATTAAATACGCTTTTATTATTCACTTTTCTTTCATTCTGGTTTTGTACACAAAATTCCGTGATCTCAATTGTTATTTTATTTTTTGCAGAGTACTGAAATAACCGAACCTCTGACACCACTCATACAGGTTGCATCGCTATTGCAAGCGCGAAAGGAAACTGAACGAGATGTTAAAGTGATTTTGGACATATGCTCAACATTGTCAACTGCTCAAGTAATCAAGGTATACAGAAAAAATGTTCGATTTTAAAAGAGAAATCGACTAAATGTGTTTTATTTACAGATTTTGAAGTCGTATACGCTAGATGATTGCGAGGAGCCAATTCGTCCGGCCTTCATCGAAAAGTTGACGACTGCTTTAAATGAGCGACCGATCAAGGTAATGGTTTCTTTGACATGAATGAATTAAATTTACAATATTAAATAGCTTTCTCACGAATTTAAACGAAATTTGTAAACGATTTTAATTTCTAGACTCCTACCGACACCTTCACCATGGATGAAGCATATGTTCATCCACTAAAAGTGGTATATAAGTACGATGAGACACACCTTGAAGAGATCGATTTACCGCAGATTTTGAATTTGAATCAAATTCTAACCAAAATTTAAGCATTTCCAGTGTAATGATACACGCTTCCATGCATTTAGCTAGTAAATGAAATTTAAGTGCCAAGAGGCAAGCAAAATATATTCTAAAAGAGTTGTATTATAGCAATATATATTAGATTTAAGCTAAATAGAAACTGTGCAATCAAATGGGCTTTTGCCAAAAAAAATCTTAACTTTATCGCAACATTTGAAATGTATACAAATTATTTTCATATTATTAATTACCATATATAATTGTACAAAAAAAAACACAATTCAATTTGTTCCTTATGAAGAAGTGTACTTATAATAGAAACGAAAAAAATGAAGAATTTTTTCATTTATTTTCGTTCAAAATTAGAATGCAAACTTTCCAAATAGACTGAACAAAAAAGACAATGTGTAATTTATCGTGATTATTGTGAAGAATTTACAACAAAAAAAATTGTAAAGGAATTTGAACAAATGTAAAATTGCTTGTAGGTCTGTTGCCTGCAATATTTATAGAGAAAAAAAAATTATATATGAAATGGGTTGAAAATTTATCTTTTTTCTCACAATATATGATGATGATTTTGTCCGCCAAAATGCCCAGTGAATTGTTTAAATTATTTTTTTATTTATGGATCGATTTTTTGCCACATATTGCATGTATTTATTGACTTAGCGCTTAAGAAGTACAGTATACTTGCTTTAATCAGTACTTCCATAATAAATTCAATATAATAAGTTGTACCTTGTTCAATTTCATTATTGTTTATTTGCATATATGAACATTGAGCACTTGATGACTTTGATCAAATTTTTATTTAAATTTAATTTTCGATGCGTTAGCAGATTATTCAAATTGCCATTACTATTGTGCTTCAAATATGTTTCATAATAATTCATTATTATCGAATTTATTAGTAAATTAGATTCATTTGGTGTAGAAGCGTTTAGTTTAAATTTTATATAAAATTCGTTTTATAATTAAATTCTTTAACGAATTTTGTGAAATAAACACGAAGTGAACAAATTTAATATTTCAATTTAAGTGGATTTTATTTCATTGATTTTAAAGGAACTTTTGGAGTATAGAAAAACATTACATTATTAATAAAAATGTTTTTTAAATTATTGATCCTTGTTGAAGAAATGAAGCTCATAATAATGTTTTTTAATGAAGCTGAACAACCGAAAAATGTAATTTGCCGCTGTCTATACAAAATAAGAGTGATTGTATATACGATCGTATACAATGTCTAATATACATCACCATACAATCGAAGCAGAGTAGCTGTTGTGTGAGCACAATACTTATCACAGAGACGAAGCTTAGTAGTGTGCGCATGTATTGGTACACGGTTTTTGCATATTGTCCATAGTCAGTATACAGTGTTTTTGCATATGCAAATGTATTGTATACGCATGTTCATAGAATCCTTCGTCTTTATGAAATGAGATCTATGCGCGTTAAAAAGAAATAGACGCCACAAATATGTTGATATAAAACACATTGTTGTTGACTGTCTCGCTCAAGCAATACTGTGTATAACTACAACCTCACATCATTTCCATGAAAACGAGGCGACGTTCTTTTACTTGCGAACATTCAAAGGAGAAACACATCACACAAGTTTGCTCATTTATTTTTCGACGCCATTTTTTATTTAGCAAAAAAGTTCCGAATATTCCACATAAATTACAGTTTTTCATAGAATTGTACTGATTTTTTCGATAAAAAAGTACAACATTTACTGAAATCTTTTTGGAACTTGGTATTACTACAGTAAATTTGTTGAAACGACGTGAATTTTGATCGGTCATCGGTAGGTACCGCATCGTCTGCTTCATTTTTACAATTACAATTTCAATCGAACAAAAGATATAGTTATTTTAGCTATAATAGACATCAATCGTACACACATTTACTAACAACAAATCGAATAATTGTCGGATGGAATAAAATGGTTTTGAACCAAAAAAACTGTTCATATAATCTTTAATTATATTCAATATAATATTTATTAACTGTTCAATTTATTGTTCTATTCCACTTTGTTACCCAGTTCTATTCCCTGAGGAGCCAATAAAAGTCAATTGTCATGGATCTTCTACAAACAAAGCAAAAGTTATCCCATCCAATCAGTCGTGATGATATCGAAGATGCTGGCGCTGGTCCGTCAAATGTGGAATCGTCACCAAAAATATTCAAGCTGAGCATTGATTGTATGGACGAAATATTTGAATATTTGTCGCTGAAAGATTTGCATTCATTTGGACAAACATGCAAGCGGATGAACAAAGTGGCCGGCGAATATTTCAAACAAAATTATTCATCGGTTCAAGCATGGTGCAATGGTGGCGTAATTTACACGTTTTATTCGGACAAAGATGGAGTCAAAAGGGAATGGATTGATATATCGGGCTTCAGTCAATTCACACCAAGCATTTCAATTAGTGATATTCTCAGTTATATTCAATCTCATGTCAGTGAATTTGGGTCAGTTAAACGCTTTTCTCTCGACTATTTTAAAATTGACAA